CAGCTCTTCAGCTCAAGGCGAGCGCTCTACCACTTGAGCTACAGCGCCACTTCCGGTTTTCTGGTGGTTTATTGGAGATAGGAGTCTCATGGTCTTTCCTGCCGGGGCTGGCTTTGAACCGCGATCCTCAGATCTCAGCCTCCTGAGTAGCTAGGATTACAGGCGTGAGCCACCAGCGCCCGGCTTTGTACAATTTCTTTTGCATATGACTCCTCTTGAAATGTTGACAGAACTTGCTAGTGTATTATTAAATTAGTGGCTTCAGAGAAAGGATACACAGACTTAAAAAATAAGTAACATAGAGGATCACAAGTTTTATATTGAAAAGTTTATTAAGCAGTGTCTGCCTGGGGGCCCATGGACTGGCCTGCGTTTAAATTGTGCAATATTTTATATTCAATAAATCCAGATTATCAGCGTTGCAGAATAGCTGGCCAGCTTCTATTGGAGTTGTCTTGTTTTGTTTTTAGATGTTTTGCATTGATTTAAGATAGACTAGGAGCCAGGTACCGGTGTGTCACATCGGTAATCCTAACTCAGGAGGTTGAGATCTGAAGACCACAGTTCAAAGCCATCCCAGGCAACAAAGTCCATGAAACTCTTATCTCCAATTAGCTATCAAAAAGCCAGATGTGGACCTGTGACTCAAATGGTACAGTACTAGCCTTGAGCAAAGTAGTTCAGGGATGACACCCCCAGGAGTTTGTTTAAGCCTCATGACTCCACTGTCCTCCCCTTCTCTTTCCCTCCCCACTCACATACAAAGATACACTAGGAAGGTCCTAAAGTAGTTTTTAGACCAAAATGGTTGGAGGAGACTAAAAAGCAAGCTGCTAAATCAACATCACTCCAAGGATGAGTTATAGCCTAACTCTGGGTGTTTTTATTGTCCACCTAGATGATCTTTCCCATGCTTTGTTTACTGTTTTTGAATTCCTGCTTTTCACTCTCCTCTGACCCCTCTGATTTTAACTAGATTTAACTGTACCCCATCATTCCCACTTTCTAGCTATAATACCTCTTCTAGCTCTCCTCCTCAGTCCAGCAGCCCTTCAGCCCGACCCATCTTACAATCTGTTACCCCTGCAAGGTTTTCATTTTCCTTTCCCTCCCTTGTCCTTATTTCCTTACAGATCCCAGATCAGTCTTGTTATTCTCACTTCCTCATAGATGTCTCTTTCAGTTTCTCCTACTCACCTTGCTAAATACAGCTTTATACCAACTCCATGCCCAAACTGGCTGCTGAATTTCGATTCTTCGGGAGAAAACCACATGACATACTAACCAGTCCCAGCTCAAAGTCATTATCCCAAGCCTGGAAATCACAGCCTACATTTCCCCAGTCTATTCACTCTATTTCATGCCTCCTAATGACCCAGCTTCCTAGCATTTACCATTTACCTAGCAGCTTCTCTCCTTGTTACTATCTAGACTCAGCAGCCCAGCTTTACTAGATCCCATCTCATCTACCCAAGGATGTTTTTCCTACATTATTCATTTCATCCTCATACTAGGATTGTTCCCACCAGCAC